TTTGCCCTTAAATATAATCATACCTGCATCACTCAGCCACTTCTCCAGGAGTGGTTTTAACTTGCACATGTTCTTGAAGCTCAGATTGAGAGCTTCAAAGCGGGAAATGGTGGTCTGGCTGAAGTCATTTCCGTAGAGCTTCCCCATAGCCAGACCTACATCGCCCTATGGGGAGTAGAAGATATCAGAAAAGGAGCGAAGGCACCTGGGAGAGTGAGATCATTTATTCATTGAGCTGTTCAATTTATATCCAACTTTGCCTCCAGGAACTTGAGGTCCCATAATAGGATATTGTTTCCCCATCTTTTTCCTTGTAGGAGCCCCCCCGTAGGCTAGGATGGACTTAGGCAGCTGGGTGACTTTGGGCCAGTCCCTCTCTTTCAACCCTAGGCTGGGAAGTCCAAAAGCATCTATCTACTGGATCAGTGTGACCAATGATTTATATATATAGAGAGAGAGAGAGACAGACAGACAGAGAGACAGAGAGAGACAGAGAGACAGATAGACAGACAGAGACAGAGAGAGAGAGAGAGAGAGAGAGATGAGAGAGACAGAGAGATAGTTTATTGATTGATTAGTCTTACAACCATATCAAAGAAAATAAAATAATGGTAAAATACAAGGTCTATTTCCAGGATAAAATAGACAAAAGAAAATACATTAATACAATACATATGTGCTAAATACAAAGAATCAGTGTTCAGACAAATACATTGCCTTTACTTGATGCTGTTTATCTACTGCATCAGGCATATGAAGGTCCATAACCTTCAACGAAGAGGCCTCCATCTCACAGTGGTTCGATTTGGGCTGATCACAATGACAGTAATAGTGTGTGTGTGTGTGTGTGTTCTGGCCCTGCTCTATCCTGGAATAAGATGTTGGCTGGTGTACCTATATATGTGCATACACACATACATATAACCTATATACATATGCACATAAATCCATATATATGCACACACACTGTAGTGATCTGTCTCACAGACAGAGACTTGTCTTTATGGAGGTGGGGAGAGGAAGGAATACCTAGGATTGATTTTGTCTCGAATTGGCAATCCAGAATTGACAAAACGGGGCTGGACGTCACGTAGGATCTTTGTCTGTGCTTATAATGTCCTGTCTACTCTTCCTTTTGCAGGAGAATCATCTTAAGTTCAGAGCCATCTTCTTTTTGAGTAAATTAAACATTAGTTATACTGTAACACATAATTGTAATAGAATTATGTAATAGAATTAATTACAGTTTGCTAATTATCTCAGCTATTATAATAAAGCCACAGACGGCCTTTGTGAAGAGCATGCAGGTACAAATTAGAAAAATAAGTAAATAAGTGAAAAACTAATTAGAATAAACAAATTATATATTAGTTATAACAACAGATCTTCATCTGTTAATCTCCAAGTAGTTTACAAACAGAAACAGAAGAAAGGAAGGAAGGAAGGAAGGAAGGAAGGAAGGAAGGAAGGAAGGAAGGAAGGAAGGAAGGAAGGAAGGACAGTACTCAATTCAGGCAGAGTCAAAGTCTTGGGCCAGTGGCATCTACATGTAGAGGGGGTCCAAAATGTCAAGATGGTGGCTCCACCTCTGTGCCCTGCACAAGTGTGTTTTGCTGCTATTTCATTTCCTCCTCTTAGAATAGAAGTTAAAGGCTTCTTGGGGGTGCAGCTTGGAGCAGAAAGGCCTTTTCCTGTGAGTGAAGGTCCATGAATTGTCCAGCTGGCTGGCATGAGACCCCTCTCACCTGCGTAAACCCCAGTTTGATGCGCCTCTGCTTGAAAGTCTTGGCAAATTTTTCCAGCTCTTCCAAATCGTTGGCCTCATCTGTTGCCATGGAGGACGGCAAGTGTTTGGCAACTTGTAAATGCTGAGGGGCCTCAAGGTGAGGCTCCAACGATGTCCCAGGGTGTCCAGGACGTCCCACTGCCTGTTAAAACACAAGCCATTTTGGAATTGTCATCATATTGCAGCAACGGCTCATCCTTCTCCAACCCTTGCCAACCTGTTCCAGGATTCCCAGCTGCTTGTGCCCAGACACAAGAGAGTCTGACACAGGAGAGCACCATGGGATCTATAGCTGCAGGCCAAACCACAGACACATTAAATTTCTGATGCTCCCACAAACCAGCTAATATTTTTCCATCTCTTTTGTTCATGGATGGTGCCATCACGGAAGTTCAGGAAGGTCAGGCTTCATTAGCATAAGGATGAGTGTCTATCAAGTAACCCCAGGCAGTAAGACTGGGAAGGTGAAAAATATCCCATTTCCATAGCATCGCCAAGAAAACTCCTTGAACGTGTCCCTGCAGTCGCCAGGCATCAAACTCAAATTAAAGGAGGACTTCCTTTGAGTTTCATGATCTTAATCTTTGTGGGCATTTTAATGAGCTATTGTGCCCTGTGAAATTTCAGAAGCAGAGACAGACACTGAGACAGACGGTGAGAGAGAGGGAGGCAGAGACAACACATTTAAACTGTGAATAGGAAGGTGGCTGTGACAAACCAGGCTCGGCAACAGGATTATGAACCTGCAAGGTGAAAGTTTTCATCAAGGGCAATTATTGTAGCTTTTGGGAAATGCTGAGAGAAAACCCTCCAGTAACATTCTTGGAAGAGTAACACCCACTGGTTAACCCATTGGCCTGGGGCTCCCAAGCTACCTAAACAAATTAGCATTGGGTTTCCCCAAAGACTCTCAGATTTCTCCTCTGCGCATTTTGAAGCAGAATTCCTTCCGGAAATATTTTCTCCCAATACAACGGTTTGAAGAATTGTTGAATATTTTGTATTTACCCGTTGGATGTCAATAGTTGGTCTTTCATATTTTTGAGAGCTTGACGTATTGGTGGTTGATACAGCTTTGCTAATAATGGATATGCAAGGGATTTAATACGGAACAGCCTAGGGGAAGTGATGTGTGATGGTTTTCAAGGTAGGCAGTATTGACAGTGACATGCAGGAATGTATGGCATTTGACAACATAAGAGTTCGTAGGTTTTCCATTTGTTAAAATGAGATACTCTTTGTAACACATGAATGGTGAGCGGGGGCATTCATGGGTAAGGTTGAAAAAAGCCACGAAGGTGGTTGCAGCTGTGTGATCAAAGCCCCACAAGGTCCTTCCTTGATGATAGGATAAATTTGAAATTCCAGGGACAAATACGGACCTCTTCAAAATATGGGCTTGAACTGCAGATTGAATTTGGCTTAACAGAGTTTAACCAAATGACAATAACAAAACAACAACAGCAACTCAGTTGATGGGAGTTACCTGAGATGCTAAGCTGTGTCCATGCTGTGGGAGCAGAAGTCCACTTTGTTGTTGAGGAAAGGAGAGAAGGTTTGACTGCAGAGCTGAAAGGGATGGAGGAAAATTCAGTCAGATACTTTGGTTCCACCAAAAGAGCCTCATTCCACAAAGCCCAAACAAAGGCCGCTGACCGGTGTCCCAAATTTCACAGTCAAAAGAGGCATCCTGGCATTTCCCCCATTATTCCATTCATGTGTGATGAGTTTTATCTTGCCCTTTCCCCAGTGCAACATTTCACATCTTTATCAGTCATCTAGAAAGAGATGCGTGTGCAAATGAACCCTTCTCCCCCAAGACAACTAATGGGCTACAAGCAGGAACTGTTTGAAACAAAAAGCAGAGCGAAGCAGCCAGTTGCAATTCTCAGAGCTGGAAATCAAAGTGTATGAACAGAGAACCACTCTTGACATCTGATCATTCCATCCCATTTTTTTTTTTAATTCAGAAGTAAAGTTTGCTGTGTCGAGTGGGCTTATACCTAAGAAAATAACCTAGATTGTAGCTCTGGAATTAACCACCTTTATCTCAGAGATCATTACCTTTAACCTGGCACATATATCTCCCCCCGACACCAGCATGTTGCATTACAACTCCCATCACTCCCAGCTAGCTTGGGGCAAGTTAAGTCAATGCAACCATCCCTGTCTCACCGGCGTGTGGCTGCAACAATAAGACAACTTGCTCTAGGCGACCGGGTGACAAGGTGATGCAACAGCTCCTGAAGTCATCCATGCCTTGAATTGCCTGCCACCAAACAGACAAATTGGCTGGTGTCTTCCTCCCTTATAAGGCCTCTATTAGTGCTGGGAGTTGTTAGCAGGGTGAAAACAGGTTGGGCGTTTTTATTAAAAAAAGAAATCACAGCAGAACCTTCACTCACCCGCTGCCTGAACCTGAACCCTCCTGGTTGCACAACGTGTGTGACAGATCAAGACAGTGGTTGCAGACCCACACTTCAATGGTGTTTCAGTTGGCCCCATCACTCATACTCTTCCCCCAAACTCAGCTCCTTCATTGCCGCTCTCTCCCTCTCTCTTTTACAAGGCCCAATCTATCTTGCATTGCCAGAGTTATCATTATCATATTATTGTTGCTATTATTAAAATAATTCTTGCAACCTTATTGACACTATAACATGGACCTTAAATTATGTATTTGCCCGCATTTATATCCTATGATTAATCAAATTATCTGCCAGCAAGATGTGTAGACCTGGTTCATCTCGTGATTTAATTTTACAATGATTTATTGAATGAGCCCCAGCTGTCTGGGTTCACCCAGTTCCATAAGCCTTAAACTTTGTTTTACATATCACAATGCCTGGATTTGCACAACCCAGGAAACCTTCTGAGGACTTTGCATGACTTGTGAACGAGGCTATTTTATTTTGGTAGATACAAAAGCCTTAGGGTGTGAGATGTGCAAAGGGGGGCAATTGTGCTTCTAGGTTCCTCCCAGGACTCAGATGTTCCAACTGTAATTTTGCTCTGCAATCTCTGGGCCCTGGTGCACCCTGGAGAAAAACTCTCCTTCGCCAACTTAGCAGTTTTCAGTGACGGAATAGGCTTGCTCGTAGATGAGAGTTGGATTTTCACACTTGTAAGCCATAAGGTGGTTCACTGGCATATACTGGCTCCTACTAACTGGATCAGTGTTTCTCAACCTTGATAGCTTTAAGATGGGTGGACTTCTGGCTGGGGAATTCTGGGAGTTGACAAGGTTGAGAAACACTGAACCAGATGACCAACTACAAAGTTCAAAAACTAATGGGAAATTAAATTACACTGAAATCAGACAGAGAGAGAAGAAAGCCCACAAAGGCTTCGAAAGAACATTTGAACATTCTCCGTAGAGGTCAACAAAGTCAAGAAGGTGGTCTTGACATGCAACTGAAGCCTTGATTCTTTTTAACTTGTGTCACAGGGCTGCAAATGCATAGATGAAGCCACCATCTTGACTTTTTTGTCCTCTCCTCAGACATCCCTGTCCTTAAGCCTCTTGGAGTCTTGAAAGGGTGCTGAATTCAGCACCAAGGAGGAACTGCTCAGCACCTGTCACTCAAAACTGAGTCACCAGGAGTTACCTTGAGGTTTCTACTCATTGCCTGTGTAATCCTGATCTTGTACCTCCTTCAGTGAAACCCTGGCTTTGCTCCTGATGTCATGTCTCCAGAGGAAAGGAAACAAAACAGAACTGTTGAAACCACCACAGGGCAGGAGCTGGTTAGAGTTTCATGTGCCTGGAAACTTGCAAATCAGGGACATGCTTGTCAGCACAATTGGACTCATAAACCCTGTGCAGCTCTGGGAGGCTTGGAGACGGCTCCATGTTTAATAATTTTACAACATCCCAGCCAGATAGGATCTAAATGAGCCAGACGTAAAAATTTGCCCAATGGTTTTGCTTCCTAGCTGTAGGGTGGTTGGTTAGACCTACTCGGGTAGGTCTCTTCCTGTGGGGTGGGGAAAGTTTGTGTAGGAAAAGATGAGTGGCGATATAATCCATCCCCAAAGGAAAAGTTTGACAGGTGGCTCAAGGAACCATGACTCCGTGGCTCCAGGGATTACGCAGGCTGGCTCTGAACTTTGACTCTGAAACCCTTTGCTTTTCTAAGTCATTGGAGATACATGGAAGCAGGAGAAGCAGAAGAGCGCTGAGCTGGCCATTCCAGGGTAGGGGAAATGAGCTGTTTGATGGCTGACCCAATTCCTTGGTCCAGGTGGCTGGACTGCTGGCGATCTTGGCCTCTGAAATGCCAGATCCATTTATAATAAGACCATGCTCATCCATAACCTGAGAGTGGATGAGCAAGTGCACTCTGTGCTGTGTCATCAGAATCTGGTTGAATAAGGGTGCAATGTTGTCCTAGTGGAAATAAGACCTCCTGGACTTGGGGTCCTTCAGTAATCTTGACACCAAAGCTGGGTAGAAGGTGGTGTACCTGTGATCAAGGACTCTGCTGCTGAGGCAATAGTTGCAATAGAAGGTTCAGGGTTTTTTGGGGTGGCGGTGGTGGTTGGAACAAGCTGGAGAACCTGCTAGTATAATAGCTGTCTTGCTATACAGGAGAGTCCCTGCCTATGTTCCTAGACTTGAACTTGGGCCTGGTATTGGAATTCCCTCATCATTTTTATGCTGAAGGC